CCAACCACACACTGGGGAGGGGTTTGGGAGGGTCCCACACATTGGGGTGATTTGGGGGGGGTCCCAGACATTGAGGGGCTCCCACACATTGGGAGGGTTTGGGGGAGTCCTACACAAGGAGGGTCTGGGAGGAATTTGGGGGGGTCCCACACACTGGGAGGGTTGGGGGGGGTCCCACACATTGAGGGGGTCTGCACAAGGGGTGTTTGGAGGGGCTTTGAGGGGTCTCACACATGGGAGGGGTCAAGGGACCCCACACACTGGGGGGCTTTGGGGGGGTTCCACACGGGGGCACGGGGACAGCAGGACACAGGGACATGGGGACAGGGTCATGGGGACAGGAGGGACACAGGGGGACAGCGGGGACAGGGTCGCAGGAACAGGGACACAGGTACAGGGAAACGGGGACAGGGACACAGGGACGGGGGACACACAGGGACAGGGACATAGGGACAGGGGGCACACAGGGACACGGGGACAGGGACACGGGGACATGGATGGAAACGGGAACAGCAGGACACGGGGACACCGGAGGACACGGGGACAGCAGGACATGGACACCAGGACAGGGACGACACCAGGACATGGGGACAGGGGGGGACATGGGGACAACAGGACAGGGGGGGACATGGGGACCATGGGCACTGTCCCCGTCTCCATGTCCCCTTATCCCTGTGTCCTCCCTGTGTCCCCCCGTGTGCCCATGTCGCCCCTGTCCCCCCCATGTCCCCCATGTCCCTGTGTCCCACCGTGTCCCCTGTCCCACTCATGTCCCCATGTCCCCACTGTTCCCCCTGTGTCCCCCTCCAGCGCCAGGCTCCAGCCAGGGTGTGCCCCATGCCCCTTGTCCCTTGTCCCCAGCCCTTCCGTACCCCAATTACCGACCCCAAATTCCCTGAAACGCCCCCAAATCTCACTCCCGACCCCTCCCCAGATGCCCCCTCCCCAACTGGGGGGTCCCCGCCCACCTCCAGCGCCAGGCTCCAGCCAGGGCGTGCCCCTTGTCCCTTGCCCCAGAGCCCTGTACCCCCATTACAGACCCCAAACCGCCCCAACCCCCCCCAAATCTCACTCCTGACGCCCCCCGGGGGGTGTCCCCCTCCCCAATTCGGGGGTCCCCGCCCACCTCCAGCGCCAGGCTCCAGGCCAGCGCGTGCTCCCGGCCGTCCCACAGGCAGAGCTGCCGGTCGTGGCCGCAGGTGAGGAAGCGGCAGCAGTTGGGGTGCGTGGCCAGACCCCAAACCTCGTCCGTGTGACCCTGCGTGGGGGCGAGAGGGTCCCGGGGAGGGGTCAGCGCCCCGTGCCCACCCCGGACACCCCTCCAAGACCCCTCCCCAAAGCCCACCTGGACGATGGGGGTGAAGCCGGCGGCCAGCGTGCCCCGGAGCAGCGCGTTCCGGGTGGTCCCGACCAGCAGCTCCTCCCCGGGACCCTCCGCGATCGTGCGCACGGCGCCGAAGCTCTCGGGGAGCTGGGGACCCCAAAACCAACCCCAAATACACCGTTAGAACCTTCTGAAGCTCTCGGGGAGCTGGGGACCCCAAAACCAGCCCCAAATCCCCTGCTAGAACCCCCCCGAAGCTCTCGGGGAGCTGGGGACCCCAAAACCAGCCCCAAATCCCCTGCTAGAACCCCCCCGAAGCTCTCGGGGAGCTGGGGACCCCAAAACCAGCCCCAAATCCCCTGCTAGAACCCCCCCGAAGCTCTCGGGGAGCTGGGGACCCCAAAACCAGCCCCAAATCCCCTGCTAGAACCCCCCCGAAGCTCTCGGGGAGCTGGGGACCCCAAAACCAGCCCCAAATCCCCTGCTAGAACCCCCCCGAAGCTCTCGGGGAGCTGGGGACCCCAAAACCAGCCCCAAATCCCCTGCTAGAACCCCCCCGAAGCTCTCGGGGAGCTGGGGACCCCAAAACCAGCCCCAAATCCCCTGCTAGAACCCCCCCGAAGCTCTCGGGGAGCTGGGGACCCCAAAACCAGCCCCAAATCCCCTGCTAGAACCCCCCCGAAGCTCTCGGGGAGCTGGGGACCCCAAAACCAACCCCAAATTCATCCTTAGAGCCACCCAAAGGGCTCGGGGAGATGGGGACCCCAAAACCAACCCCAAATT